TTTCTGTACAGCTTTTTTATTGCCCAGATTTTAGTTAGCCCCTGTTCAATTGACTGTTATATGTCAATAGAAACATGTCTCACAAATTAAAGTGTCTTGTAAAATATTTGTGTTTTTTTTCAAGAATTTTCTTCCCAAATCTATTACATGCCAACTGTAAATTGTTATTTCTGCTAAAACCTTAACTTAAATGTGTATATGGTGTTTATCTGTTTCTCTCTCTGTTTTAGATGCACACATCAATCTGGAATTCGGCTTAAAGCCAGAATTGCAGGAATGCAACACGTGTTGCAGAGGACTCTTTCACTGCCCTCTGTGCCCCACTTTCAGCCCTACTGTCAGGGCAAAGATTGAGGAGCATCTAAGTGTGCATATAAAAAATGCTTTGCCTTTCAAAGGTATGTTTGTATTAAATATACTTTATAGTTATAAATATGCACTTTTTTAAGCACTTCTGCAGTATCTTTGTTGACTTAAAAGTTGCTGTTGATATTGTACAGTTCAGTGCATTCATCTGCAACAAAAATAGTGTTTTTATAAAATATATTTTTATTTACTTTTCACACTTTTCTTGCATAACTTTTGTGATCCATACCATTTAACTTTCATTATTGAGGTTGGCTTGGATGTTTTTGTTAACATGTACAATCTGATTGTTAGACAAATTGATTGCATTCTATACAACTACATTTAAATTACATCTGTTTGTTTGTTTGTTTTTTTTCTCTTACAGATAAAATGATATGCCGGTGCAGGCTGCCTTGTAGGACAACAGGACACTTTCACCGCCCTGTCTGTAAGATTACAATCATACGGCGTGGGGATATGGCAAGGCATTTATTGTCTTGTCAGCATTCTTCAATGCCAAGTCAGCCACCATTATCAGGACTGCTCCCCGCTGAACTCTCCGAGGAGACCCGTATTCCTCCGGCAGTACTCTTCGAGGAGCCCCGTTTCCCCCCCAAGGTTTTGTCTTCGGTATCTGAACCATTTTCTGAGTCTTTGTTAGAACATTCATTGGCTCTACCCTCTGTGTTCAATAAAACTGCAGCTGATGGAAAGTCCATGAAAATGACATGCCCTCACTGTGGCCTTACTCTTCGTAGCTCTGGCAAGCTATTTGCACACTGGAGAGAGGAAGCCAAAGCTGTGCTTGAAGGACAACACGTGCCCATTTTCAGACTGAAAAAGCGCAAGTTCCAGGAAGTCAGTCAGGTCAGTATTCACTTTAAACAGTAGTGTAATTACATGGTTAGTGAAATTTGAATAACTGTTAAAAAACTGTTCTGCAACAGAGAAATAACTATGTTTTCATCCCCATTTGCCTGACACAGGAGCCAGCAGTTGTTGAAGATCTGCGTCCTGCTGTGCAGTGGGTTGTCCAAAATAAGGCACTTTTCCGTGGACATGTAACAATGCCCAAATATCTGTCCTTAAATCAAGGGGACCAGCAGAGGGTCTTAAGAGACATGTCAGAGGAAGAAGACACTGGAGCAAGGGACTTGTTCCTCTTTGTTTTTCAGTTTGCAGAGGACATGGAGCTCTTTTTGAAAGCATGTGCTGATGAGCAGGGGCTAAGGGTCAGTGCTATGTTTGACATGTAATGGACAAATGAAGGCACTGGCTGTTTGTTTGTTTGTTTAATATGTTGTTGTTTTTTTGTTTTGCGTTTTGCGTAGTACAAAATTCCAATTAAACTTATTTCAAAATGTTGTTCACTTTATTCTGTGTCCATACTTATAATAAAGGATTACAGTGTAACAGCATTAAATGTAAATGTAACAGCATTTTTTTTAAACTTGTAATTTCAAAATAAAAAGCTTATTGTTGATATTAACAGTAAAGAATTGTAATCAATAATATTTTTATACATTTTAAACATTAACACTCTGGGCTCTATCCTGGCCATTTGTGGACACTTCACTTATTCTTTTTTTTGACTACTGCACTGCAGTGGACCAAAAGAATGACACGGGTTTGATCTTAAGGATCTAATAGTTGTGTGTGTTGTGCATGACATTGCCACACAAATATGTATTTGCAAGATAGAGTAGAATAAATTATGACGCATGAAATATTACATAGGCTGCAGTGAATTTCTGTTGATACAGACTATTGAGCTTTGAGTTTCCCAGTCAAACTTAGCTTTGAAGCACCTGCTAAAAACACTTTTACTCTTGTACATTTCAAAACAAGACACCATAGCCAAAATATTAACAAAATATATATTATTAAAAAATTCAAAGCTGCAGCACATACAGCAACAAACACCGTTAGTAAATGTGTCCTGGAGTTTATGCAGGTGCAGAAAGTGCTGCTGCTGTAAGTCAGCCTAACAGCTTCCAGATCACTTATTTTTCTGGAAAGATGGTAGGAAGGGCATCACTGCTCATTTCTACAGTCTCCCAGATCTTGGAATACAATCCCTTTGTACCATGAAACCACTTCGCAGTACTAGGAGTCCACTAAAACCTATAAAGAGAGTGATCCTGGAAGAAATGGGGCACACACTAGTGACCTCAACAATTGCAAGACAGCCTTTTCCCCGATGCTCAGATGGGGGAAAAAAGGAAGTTTCATGAAAACATTAGGACTTTAGGTAATATATAACCTAACTGGCTATAAAGAGTAAAAAATTTAGATACAATTTTGATTTTGATGAAAAGGACTGGTGCTATTTTAAAGAGTCACGTCGGAAAAGTAGATAAATGTTTTAAGAAATATACATTTTATAGCATTTTGTGAACATACACAAAAAGTGGCCATTTTTGGCAACAAACAAGCTGAGAGAGAGTTTTATATTTTTGGCTCTCCTTGAACAAAAATAATAGTGCATAATAATCAATGTTGATGTTAATCAATTAGATGTCCCAGACTCTACTATTAATAATACAGCAGCCCCTCGTTTATCCCTGTGTATAAATACACAAATAATACACATAGGCTTTCAATTGTGTAATTTAAGTGATCTAGGTAGCTGTTTTGGAAGTTCAGTTAACGCTGGAAATGTGTTTTGGAGTTTGTATACGTGCTTTGTCTCTAGGGGCCACCGTATATATTTATATATAAACATATATAAATAAAACCATGTTTTTTTTTTACATTAGTAATTCCTTTTGTGCAAAATTTTATATTATTGTTAATAATTAATTAATTAATTAAAGCAGCAAAACAACCTGAAGAGCCAGTTGGGAGCCGAAAGAGCCGGATCTCTAAAAAGAGCCGGAGATCCCATCACTACTAATGAGTTATAATTACACCGCAAAATTAAACCACTCCGTCTTTTGCATTTAATTGGTTAATTTTCAAGCTTATTATCAGCCTGTCATCACCTTTGTCTGATTTTTGCTGACACCACATTTATTTAACAATGACTTATCAACACTGGAGAATTTTACATATTGACTGCAAAAACAAACTTCGAGCAGTATCAACAAATTCCAGCAGAGTGTTTATGTGACACATACATCCATTCAGCCTGGAGGTAAATCATTAGAGTAAAAGTGTGAGTAGCTGTTACACCGACAACTCCAGGGCAGCAAATTCACTCAGAGATAAAACAAACACCTGTCAGCCCCTGATGAGCCCGATGTCTGCAATCAAACAGGCACATTAATATTGTTTATGGGTCTGTTCATGAAAAAAAAAAGCGATGCACAATAAAATACACACTCAGAAAAGCAAAACAAGGGCAGACATCTAACCAAAGATCTGCACATGTACTATGTAAAAGCTCAGATGGTGAAGAGATCCAGCTGTGCAGCAAAGGACAGCAAAGAGGAGGAGACATGACACAGCTGGAGCTCAGCATTTAAAGTAAGGTCTGACTGCACTAATGTACTGTACTATCACAGTGCAAGCCCAGCGTTCAGGCCTTAGAGAGAGTCTGTATGTGTGTGTATTCATAAATATACATAGCCATCACATGGTGGACAATGCAGAATGAGTGACTGTAAATTATACAGGTGTTATGTATTATCAAAGCTGAACAAATCCCCACCATTCAGTTACAAATGAAAAATAAATCCAGTCTAACTGAACTGATACCTGTAACCATAAGCATGATTTTCTTTTTTTAGCTCGTTTCACATTTGAAATAAACATCATCAGACATCTCTGGTGTCTGATGGACACATAACCCTGGTGACCCCCTGGGATTTAAGCCATCATTGGTGACAACCCCAAGCCTAACCCTAAGTTTTTGATGTGTTTCAGGTAGGATGATTATTTTCCTTGTTCCCTGATTGCCAACACTTGGAAAAACAAGTTTTGAGAAACAAAACTGGCATGTTCGGATTGCATGGGGTTAGCATCAGGGTCATCACACATGATTACTTAAACCTCAGAGGGCTAACAGAAGTTGACAAGGCATCAGCACACAGTTTTGAAAGAGTAACTCGAGAGTAACTTGTTTTGTTTTTTACCTGTAGTCCTCGACTGTCTGAAATGTACACCTTAAGGAAACATCCAGAATAACAACTAAATGATTCTGTTTGACTATTCAAAAAAATAGGAGACGGCATAGAAAAAACACAAAAGCCTCATTTAATGCACAAAGAGCAGCAGACTAGTAACCCCAAGTGTTTACATGCTAAGTAAAGTTTATATGCTCGGCTAAATCTTCATTATATTTCTGATGAACTGCTGGAGTTACACAATATCTATTAGAATGAGTGTATTTATTAATATAAACTCCGCCGTATCACCTATAATTTGGCCAATCACTCTTCGTGCCAACACTGAACACACAGAGTAAGTATAGCATGCTGGTGCAACGCTAGACTGAGCTTTCTCTGAGCAGCCAGCCCTGACAGACAGGAAAACACCCCCATGAGATCAGTTACAGAGCTAATATGTACCTGTCAAGGACCCTAATTACTTGCTCACACACATACACACACATTACAGCTGTCAGGGCTTGCAGTTAGCCCAACAAATCACCAGTTGTAAGACTAGCAGTGTCCAGGGACTGCGGCTAACTGGTAGCAGCCATGGCCTGCAGCAATACAGCAATGACACTAGGCTATGCCGGCCTTGTCTTTGACCCAGTTAGCAACCATGATGTGATGGGAGCCGGCTGGGTCAGGCTTAGAGTCTTTACTCTTTCAGTCTCCAAACACCAGAGATTAAAGCTGACTCAGACATGCATTCCTATTGCAGTGCAGGCCAGCAACACCTCTGTTTGGGCCAGCACTGGGAAACACACGCAGGCTTTAGTTTCACCAAAAAAATCTTAACTTCCTGCATCAGAGTGAAGTTATGATCGTTTGTCATTTCAAAAGCTTTAATTTATGGGAAATTCCAGTTCTGATTAGCTATTTGAGTCATGATATAGTGTGTGTCTTTTATCTAGCCCGTTTATTCTTCAGCCCATTATTCATTTATTATTATTATTAAGTCATTTCTTAAACTGTTATGAACGGTGTGGTGGTATGTTCAAAAGTACAATTATTTTGTCTGAAAAAAATTAACTTGTTCATTTTAATCTTATTTTAGCAGACATGTGAGAGAGTGCATTAGAAGTGATAGTGTTACATAAATCATATCAAATCCACACCGACTAAGGCATTTGCACTGTTGCCTCACAGGGGCCTGGGTTACAAACTCTAGATGTGTGCACAAGTGTTTTTGTGCGTGCTCCATGATAGAATAGCGTTCTGTCCACCGCAAAAAATAAAGTCTGCTTCAAGTCAAAGCACCTTAAACTGGAACAGGACGCTCGTTGTGTTTAGACCAAACACAACAAGGGTCCTGTTCTAGTTCTTTTCCAGTCTCTATATAAAAGAAAAGTCGTTTCACACCTCCACACTAATGGAGACAATAGCCTAGCCCTCCATTTCTAATTGTCAGGGGTGTCAGGAAAGTCCCACTCTGTCCTTTCAAAACAATGTGAGGTCGAGGTCGTCACCTGTGATAACCTTGGACCCAACTGTAATCCTATGTTTTAGCAAAAAGCTAAATAATTACTCTGGAATAAAAGGAATCAATAATTGCAATAATGCAAAGCCATAATGTCAAAATATATGACAGTTCATATTCCTATCTGGAATCTAGTGATCTGCGATACCACTGATTATATAAATACAATTTAATTGAACTGATATTAACATATAATATCAGTTGCCCTGATGTGATCAGGGCATTGGCATAATGGTACATTATAAAATCTGTTTACATGTCATAAGGCTGTTGTTGCATTATATACCTTAGATTTGGCAGTTTTCTTGACTTTAAACACACAAAAGCCTTCATGTCCACATCTGATGGGTCTCAACGAACAACAAAAAGACGAATCTCCTGCTGCTACACTGGAACACAAAGTTCTGTAATTATGTAATAATGTGTCATCATAGAAGACATTAAACTACTTTACATCTAAAGGACTTTTGCTTTTACGAGTCACAGTAGTGTTTAGTGCAACTACAAGGTGGAACGTGCAAGTATATTATTACAGTGCGTTATTACATACCAAGTAGCATGTTGCTATGCTTTGTTCATCTGCAGTGCTGTGATATGTAATATAGATAAACTGAAGTACACGATTGAAAAAAGATAAATGTTACAGTAGAATATAGATGTTAAGTAAAATAAATAATGCATAGTGTCTGTGCAGGGATAGAGATACAAACCATGAGTCCCACAGGCCTGAATGGGAACTTGAAGCCGTTTATAATTCTGACCTTGTTTTGTGCAGACAAAATGTTGGGGAAGTTGAGCATCGGTAGCTCCTAAAATATATTGACCATTCATTGTGCTCAAATAGATCAAAGCCTCCTCTACATCCTATCACGCTGTTGATCTTTTCTCAAGTCGTTCAGCTTTTTTTCTTTTTTCTTCAAAAGAT